AGGTGATAGTCTAGCCACTCGACTGAGCTAATTCTAGTCAGTTTCTTCGCTGTTCATGGATTTGTTTATCTTATAATTTGGGTGAGTGCGTTCGGCTCACGGCGGCAGGGTTTCCGGATATCAGCAGCTATCGCATTATTAGGTAGGAGGTTGGCTGATTGCAATGAGGGAATTATGAAGTGATAATTCAAGTACTAAGAGAAAATGACTGCTTCAAAAATAAACATTAATCCAATTAATTTATAGTGTTTAAAAAGACGAAATCAATATAATATTAGGTCGGTGATGTCAATTAAAGATTTGGGAAGTAGCTACTGATATGCGGATATGATAGCCGTAGTAATTTATCAGAGATGTATCAGGTTCGGCTGACTCAGGAACGAGGTGATAATCAATTAGCGAGCTATCTATTGAGTGGGCCGTGATTATCTAGGCTGGGAGAGCATACCAATTATGAGCAACTTTTGATGGGAAAAAGTGTAAATGTATCTGGTTTTCTGTCTTTTATTGTGCAATTTTTGAGGCGTTGCTTCAAGAAGCGTGGCAACAATGGCACTACCTTATGCTCGCGCTGGGATGGTTCAGCGTATTTATTATGTATGCCATTATCGAATCACCTCTTATTCTCCGATAGATTAAAAAATAATCCCGAGTGTTAGAGTCTGTCCTCGTGAAATTTGTGTTTGGAACCTATCATCCACATGCTTGCATGTCTTTGTACTTAATCCGAAAGATTTCTATCTCCTCTGAGGAGAGGAAGAGTCAGGACGCCGTAGACTTTAAGGTTAGGGCAAGCGTATGTTTTAGTCAGTGTTTGGAATAACTATGGGTTGAGTGCACGGAGTCGCACTCACATAAGATAGAAAGTCGCGTTTGTTTCATCTTATCCTCCATGTAGTTTGAGCTAGTTTCTAAGCTGACAGTGGTTACAAATCCGAGATCACGTCCTGTGAAGACAGTTAGAAGCTGATTTACATGAAATGAAAGTGATTTGAGTCTGTTATTATTTCTCTACTTACGACCCAACTATTTCTATTACTTAGTATTCTTAGACACTACCACGTCCTACAAGTCACCAAACCAGATTGTTTGGACAGGAACAGAACTATATTCCAAATAAAAAGTGAATGAAAGGAGTAACAATAAGAGAACGTTTGTGTACTTATAAATTTTACATAACAAGATTTTACAGTCTTTTACATGTATCAACAATCCTTCACGGAAGATGTTTCATTCCAATCTATACCCCAACAGCAGCGCCAAATGAGGCAGAAAGTTCATGATATAACATTTCGAAAAATTAAGTCTCAAGCCTCGTTGTAAGGTCCTTGTGAAGCTCAAATGAATGTTTTTGCTTTTTGTGGACCTTCAGATCGGTGTCGCCAAGCTAACTTCATTTAGTGAGTCTTTAATATAAATAGAAAAGAGAGTGGGCCTAGGGGTACTCCCTATGAATCAATTGATGTTGAGGCCTCCGCACTTGAGTGCACGCAACTTACCTTGGTACGAAACATCCTGCCCTCTAGATATTTTTGAGTCAAGGCAGAAGTGGATTACTGAAACATGCCTTTGTAACCTTTGCAATGATAAGTACATGAGATACCGTGTCAAAGGTTTCTACGAAATCGAGGAATCTGACATGAATCGGTATCTTATGGTTTGAACAAGTCGTTCAGCTTTCCCACGCTACGAGTTGATTCGACGCACACGACCTGTCGCTCCTGAATCTGTGTTGCGCTTCATGGAGGAAGTTGTTTTTATCTTTGTATTCCCTCAGTTGTTCGTTGACCGGTCCTTCCATTACCTTGTGAATGTCGTGACTGGTCTGTAACAGGCCTGGTTCTCCTCTTCACCTCCATCGAATACCGAAGGGGGTGGTGTTCTCTCAATGTCTTAAGAGTTAGTGTTAATCTAGTGAGTTCGTGGGCAGATCGCAAACTGACATGCCGATGATTTCCACGCGCCACCCAAAGATCATACGTCGGATGTCGCCACATTCTGATAACTCTCCAGAGTTCAGGGATTCTAATCTCTTTAATACCAACCAAGACGTTGATTTCTCAGACTATCAACCAGCACCACAGTTGAGAGACGTTCCGTGCTTGCAGGCTACTGGTTTAGTCGACCCATGAAGTTGAAAATGAAGGTCTCTACCATTTCTAAGCCAGCGAGATGTTCTATATTTGACCCTTAAAAGATAACGATCTCATGGCTTGTAGGCTTTCTTGTGTTCATAATACCTTAGAGACATTTGCGGTTGTCTTGCATTCCGACTGCTGGCTTGTCCTGAAAACATTACCAGTCGCTGAGAACCATGATGCTGTATCTGTTTCAACGTTTAGTAAGAGCTGTAGTCAGAAGACTCTAAGAAATATTTCCTTCATACCAGGCTCTCATTTTGGCCTTTAACGGGCGTTCCCTGAACCACCTTGCTCAGTATCTTCGCTTTCTGGGTGTTCGAAAAATTTATATGAGATTAATCGCTTACAACTACATTGTCTATCTCAAAAACATTTTGCATATCTAAAGTACATTGCAAGATATAGTCAAGTTGTTGAGACTCAACAAGAATTAAGAGAAAAGTTGAGAGGTTTATGGTCAGTGAACTGAGAGAATTCTCAACTCTCCACAAAGTACTGAAAGTACCGTACAGCACAATGCAGATCTGAGAGTTCACTATCAACAACGTTACACCTCAGTTTGATTCTTTGCAACCGGCTTGAAAAGTATGCCAAGAGTTTCTAAGTTTTCTATATCCACTGTTGCAAGACGCTTCTGACTGCTAAGCCGAATGAGTCTATGGCGATACTAGTAGTTGTTGTGATGTCCTGGTGTATGAGCATAGTTGGTTTGACAAAAATTCCTTGATTTCTCGCTGCCATGCAAGTTGATGACTTTCGCATGTTGACAAAGCTGATTAATTAAAGATCTTGTGGGAGACGTGCAATTAGGTATGAACTGTCGATTAAAGCTTAACAGTCCGTCAAACGTGCGCAGTTGTTTGGCTGTGGTCCGTTTTGGGCAGTCTGGAATGCCCGCCACTCTAGCTGAAGACGAGTACTTTAAGCGTCTGTAGTATGCCCGAGAAAGTTAAAAATGTCGGTTGCAATTCAACATTTTTGAATGTTTACAATAATACCACAATTTTGGAGTAATCGTAAAACAAGGTCCAGATTCTAGAGATGGTATTCTCTGTCCGGACCTGTAATTAAGCGGTCATCAACATACTCGGCACGAATTTGAGACCTCTGAATATGTCACCGATGAATCTCCAGAAAATTTGATTGGCATATCTCAAACTGAGAGACATCGTCAAAGGAAGTTATCATGGGAGTTTTAGGAATGTCTTGTGCAGCCATATGAATTTGGTTATGTGCTTTAACCAAGATGAATTTTGAGAACACAGTCATATCCTTCGAGGTATCTGGCAGGGTGTGGATGTGTGGTAGTGGTGATGTGTGATTTTTGTAGTGCGTCGTCAGTAATAATATTTGGATGCCAATTACTGCTCTTCTTTCTAGGGAACATATGCAAAGGAGACGCTCACAGGCTGTTCGATAGCCTGATAATTCCTTGGTTTGTCGTAAGATCAAATTCGTTTTGGGTCAGTCTTGGGTTTTTGAGAGAGAAACAGGCCACAGGTGGGTCTTTAGTCGTGATATGACGTGCAACATTGCTGCTTACACATGGTAGTTCTGGTTCTGTTTTGTATAGTTTAAAGTACTTTTCGGGTAGTGTTTAGAAGTGTGGACTGATCACATATTTAATCGTAACTGCGTCTAACCTACATCTAGAGGATGAGACTTCATAAACACATGACTTAGTAAATCCATCAACTAACCTCCGTCAACTTCTACATGGTAGAGCCAGGCTACTATATTATCAGGCCAGGATGGCATCATTTAAAAGGTGGGGAAAAGCAAGAGCTTTGATCTTTAATGGTTTGACTATCTTTCGTCATAATGAGGATTAAATATACAAATAAGCCAAATACTTGAGGAAAGAAATATATCACGACACCTAAAAAATGATATATATAATGTTACAACTAGGAACAGTCTTACAATTTATCGTTTGATGCTCCAGATCACGTCGAGTTTGCCACTAAAGATACCATAGATATTCAGGTTTGACAACCCTTTGTCCAGAACGCCTTTATAATCGAACGGTACCGATCCAGTTAAGTCAGGGACGAACGCGTTCAAAGAAATATTTGTAAGAAAGTCGACACTTCCAAAAGTATGTGATCCAAGTTGGTTTTGGGTGTGAGGAGTGTGAAGCATGGCGTACCTAACGATGATCTGGTTAGATGAGTAACCGGGAGCTTCCAGTTATTGTGCGTCCAGCAAAACTGATTAGGTCGGCATCAATGTTGAAAACATACAGCACCATTTATTTTGGGGGGTTATTTGCCATTGAACATGCTATTTTGCACCATAGCGGTTCGTATCTAGCCAATAGGTATGAGGATGTCACAGGTATTCAGTGTTTGACAACGCTTCTACCAGTAACACCTAATATAATTCGTTCCCACCCAGAGAAATCAAAAGACAGAGTCGAGGAGATCGGAAGAGTATATTTGGCGATGACCAATATATCGGAATTCTCTGATCTAATCTGGCTAGCGATTGCGGTTGATGTTGAGCACGGTGTTACCACACGTGATCTGGTGCGGATGCCTGACCGAGCGCCTTCAGCTAGATGAGTCCACTAAAATATATGGTCAGCATCCAATGTCGAAAACTTAGAGCTATTTATTTTGGGGATTTATTTACCGCTACAGGTACTTTGCGTAGTAGGGGAAAACGCAGAGTAGCGTGAATGAGGTGAACAAGAAACGAGAACAAGTGAAAAAGTGAGCCGATAACACAATGCACCTACATTTATTAATGAAGGCAACAAATACTCAACAGTAACACAAGCTTACCATAAAGTTAATCTTGAAAGTAAAACTAGAAGCAAATAGTTTAATCCGCTAAAGCACTGTGCTTTTAATTTCGGGCGAATATAAACGTGGTGCAATCCTAGTTCTGATTGGTTCACTCAAGGCCGTCCTGGCGGTACTTTTACCCTACGCTCTTAGCATACAATTGTATGTTCTCAGAGTTCAGAGCCAGTACTTCTGTTCATTTCTAGGTTTTCTAAATAATCGCTCTGATAGATCATCAGTAACGGCATCGGTTGTATTTGTATGACTAAATATAAGGAGGGTCGTCAAAGTACTTCGTTGTTTCGTCTTCTGAACTTTGAACTTTTCGTCAAACCAGTAATATGAATCTTAATGTTAACTTGTCTAGAATAAGGTCGTAATATCTTTTGGGTTATCTGCAATAACTGGTTGTGTCGCATATCTGGCCTACCTTAATTTGACTCATCAGCGTTCTCAGGATCTTGCAGCAAGTAGCAACATCAGTAATAACCATAAGTCTAACTGGGACTGATCTTAGAGATGCCACTCTACAACACAGTATTGTATATTCCTCCCATTGAACCCCCAAGAATCACTGATTTCGACTCCAGCGCTTCTCACATTAACGACGATAGAATTAAAATTGCTGAAGTAGAAGCTTGTTTTGGAGAATTTGAGGCACAACTTTCTAAGGTAAATTTTTCATTCCTGTAACTCATTTTGTATTAGTCTATGGATATCCCTCTAGCGCTCCTCGTTTTGCGTTCAAAGAGTAATAAATAATCTGCTCTTAATGGTTTAGTAGTCATATTACGAAACTGTGCAGGTGTGTACATGGTTACATTGTAGAATCTTATGTAAATTAACTACTTTGCCGTTCTAATCACGTCATTAAGCTTTTATAACAAGGATATGATGAGCACATCTTTCTTGTAAGTATGAGACAAACCACAACCTGGATAACTATACTAATTTGTGCATCGACGTGAAAAAGGCTATTGAATGGAATATCAATTATCCTATAAAAATACCTTAAAAAGGTTTTGTTAGATCTTCAAAATGGCCAGTGCTCCTTAAACCATTTGTCGCTAGTCGTAAAATTATTGTTCCGTCCCATCCTTTAAAAAATATTGCTGCTTTCTTCACATTCATATTGTAGTTAACTATCGAGTAAGGGTACTAATTCTACTTCTCTTACTGTTTACTGCTTTAAGTTATCGAGTTTTCGAGAGCCATTAGGACGTAGATTCCAGGACACATTGTTCTATGAAACATACACTCTAGAATTCAAACAGATAAATGGTTCTGCTGATCAAAATATTTGCATAACAAATGTCGAATTCCAGTGTGTTAGGTAAATCAATTACTTCTGCAACTAGCACATAGACTTGTATACTCATGTATGGGTGTACAGTAAGCTTTTCCTTGGAGTTACTGTGAATGGTGGTCATCAAAAAAATATTCGTCCCTCTTTAATTACTTACATTCCTATTACACCGATCGGTTATAATTTAGGATCCTTTAAAAATATTGTTTCATCAAATTAAAAGTACAAAGACACTACTGACTAAGTTCCAACTAGGGACCTCGATATTTTTGATAGTCTCTTCTAACTCGTAACAAGTGAAATTATGCTAAAAGACTAGTATTCCGCTAAAAAGTTAAATTAAAACATGAGAATATTAGTCTGAGTCCTTCAAAATCTGTAGGCTCTTTTTGTACACCGTTGCCTTACATCACCGAAAGGTAACTATAGTTTTTGCCCCCAAATGCCCTGGTACGGCTGAGAGTGCGGAGAGTCCGCTCTCTCTCTCTCGAAACGCTTTCACATGGCCGCGCGTATATAGCGTCTGCCAGGGAAGTCCTACTCACTGCCTTCTCGTGGTGGGGGTGTTGTTTACGAAAATGAGAGGACGAAAAGCGAATGTCCGGGTTGGTGGATATGGCGGACCTACCTATGGGAGTTGGGAAACCCTGATTCCAAACCAATGGTGCACATGGGCTCCAGTATCCTGAATGAAGAAATGGCGTATGAACCTTGTACCAATATCTATGTGTTAGAACAAATAAATAAAATATAGTTTAGGATCATAAAACTTGAAATTGGTTCGTGATATAGATGTTGAAAATTAACATTCTTTATGTTCTAGATATATTTCTATAATTCTTAGTCTCTATCTATACTTTAGTTGCCTTCTACTTCTTTCGGCTCTCTTATTAAGTTCCTGTTACATTACTGGCGTTTAATGTGAAAATTTAAACCTACAGTTGCACGACGTTCGCATTTCCAGCTACCTCTACCACATTTCCTACAAACATACGTAGTCTGCTTGAATGCTTTATGAAAAGGGAGACATATTGTTTATTTATTTATTTGAACACGTAGATATTAGTACAAGGGGGCACCAAACACATATGCGCCACACATTTGTGAATTAATTGACATCTCATCAAATTTGTGTGAGGGCTGTGATGTTGCTCGGGTGCCTGAACCGAAGCAGGTGTCCGCCAACCCGGTTAGAGCGCCGGAAATTCGCTTTTCGTCTTAGTTTCGTGGACAACACCCCCACCGCGAGAAGGCAGTGGGTAGGACTTCCCTGGCAGAGGCTATATACGTGTGGCCATGTGAGAGCATTTCAAGAGAGAAAGTGGCTCTCCCCACTCTCAGCCGTATCAGGGCATTTGGGGGCTTATTGACTAGATGCCAGTCCGCTGAAGTCATTTTTGGCTGGCAACTAGAATATTCGATGTTTACTACTTAACGAAAATTAGGAATTTTTACTAATTCATCTACCAGGTGCGCATTCATATACCTGACTTCGGATAACACCTTAAGCACAAGGGCTAGTGATGTTACTCAGTTACCCATACTGAAATAGATGAGTCAAGATTCAAACCCATGGCTTGGTGGATGAAGATCGAACTCCTTAACCACTGAACTACTGGGTTTAATCGTGACTTGTAACTATTTCATTTGATTAATTTTGTTCGTCTTATCAACTAATGTATTTTCTTTATATACTAGCTTTACACTTAACATCGTCATTGTATACTCACAATGCTTCAAAGAATTGCTTAATAAATAGTCGATTTTATAATGATATAACTTGTTTTTCCGCGACTACTCTATTGCACTAAAGAATCACTGAACGAAATATCCATCAGTTGACATTTTTTGCAACTATATTTATGCTTCTCAAGATGTTTCATTGTCTGTTTTACTGACTACATTTAACTAGCAAAACCCACTATAGTTTAATTCATGAGTCTATCTGAGTTGGAACACCGTTGAAAACTTGGGAGTACTGGACGGCCGTTTCGCCCCTCGGTGAGCATTCATGACCCCTCACGCGGAACTTGAACCTAGGACCTTCAGTTTCACGCGCAAACGTTTAGTCTCTAGACCACTGAAATGGCATCCAACAGCGTTAATGCCTAACTTCAATTGATCCATGATCTTGCGCAACTCTCCACCCATTGTCTGAGGTAGATAACTATCTCCACCCAACACGGACTGGACTCCACTGGTCACAACTTCTCACTAGAACTTTAGGAAATCCATCTTGAAGCTACTCAATAGTGAGCATATGATTACTATCAGAATGGTGATGTAAATTGAACCGACTCATGAATTCAACTATTAAAAGTGCTACAATCTTCACTAATCCCCATTTTGATAAAACTCACTATTTTGAGGACCACGTTCAGGTGACCTTGCAACTGTTGTTATTACTCGAATAAGCAATTTAAAGTATTTTACTTCTTTGCTTTATACTTGTTCCTCCTCCTTCGAGAGTTTTTTATTCATCTCTTAACAATCCGGTTTCTACGTACCATGATTACACTTGACTGATTCTTTATTTCTCATCAAATTAATTTTTATGTCATTTTCATAACAATTATTCAAAGTAGGTTTTTGTACTTTTTTATCTTCAGTTTTGCCATTGTAGTCAATTGAATGATGTTCATACTCAATGTTGTGTTCCTGGAGCTGGAAATTTTACACATCCAGTGAATGAAAGATACCTACGTCGTACTGTAGATGAACAATTAAGAGATCTTACACTTGAAGGTGAACGTAATCGAACACGTGTTGATCGTGATCCTCAGAATAGTAATTTTGATCGAAACTCAATTTCCATCTTACATCGACGTGGAAGATTTGACTCACACAGAGCTCAGGATTCTGTTACACAATCCTCAAGTGAGCTACCTCAAAATTTTAACGAATCCATGACTGCAGGCGGAATAGCTGAGGCAGAAAGCAGTGATAATTTTCTTGTGGATGAAGAAGAAGCCGAGGCTACAGTTGCAACAGAAGAAGAACTTGATGCCACGGAATAAACTTTCTCGATCTTTGTTATTTAGAATTATTAAGTGTTATTATTTCCATTTTGGGAAATCCACCAACTGATGCTCATGTCAGAGATGTAAATATATATGTAGTAACTTGTTATTATGTTATTGCTTCATCTTCCAATCTGTAGGTCTTCAGACCAACTGAACCTCATAGTTTGAACTTTTTCGTAAGTTATTACAAATTCAATGTTTCCTTCTTTTTCATAATAGACTTAAGTAAAACATAGTTAGCATGTATTTCTTTGTGTTTCAGTTAACTCACAGTTATTGTATGTCACAACAAATAGGACTTCATAGGTGTTCAAATATTCCTTGGCGAAACAATTTTTTAATATGTGATCATTAACGACTTCTTTTCCGATGACCAGTTGCATTACTGTTCACTTCAAATAGGAATGTAAAAAAAACATTACATCTAACACTCTTGATAGAGTAAAAAATCGATTTAATTTTGTCACTAATTAGCAAATAGGCAACTTATAGTTTATTTTTTAATTATTTGTCATGAGATGTTTATTTCATGAATAATCCATTTGACATACTTTTCAGGATTGTAAGAGGTTCTAGGAATTACAAGGTTATATTATAACCTTATATAAAAAACTTAATACAGTGGATAATGTTAAAGGAATATTGGTTGCTTTGTGACAATCATTTTTATCGTTGGTTAGTTATTTGTGATTTGTTAAGTAACGCTTGGTCGTAATATACAAGTTAGGTATTTTTTGTATGGTCAACCTTAATTCCGTTATATATATATATATATATATATATATATATATATATATATATATAGTCAGTTGGACACTTTTTCATCCTTTAAAATCTGTCCTATTCATTACTTGAGGATTTGTCTCATGAACAAATTATCAATCGGGTCAGTCATCCTAGTATTTTATCAAATCAATTTTTCTAACTATTGAGACAATATTGTACACCGTGTCTTTGTAAATATTCTAATTATGTATGTTAATAGAGATTCGATTGTTCAGAAATTGATTTCTGTTGTAAATTGTATTTAATGTGCATGAGCCTATTGTTTGTCAATTGTTTGTTTATAATATGATGAAATATCTAAATCGTGGAATCAGCTTATTAAGTCATTGAGTTTTGATCTGATAGATGTTAGCAGATGCAGACTACCTGGCCAGGTTTCTTGTGGTGACCAAAATTAGTGGTTAAAGATGTTGAATGACATGGCCTGGTATCAGTCGGATTGGTTCAGATACATCCACTTTTTATCTTAGATTTTCTATTTCACTATGCTGTCATAATTACACTTTCATTGTTTCCTGACTGTAGCCTTAATCTCCTGATCTGGTGTGCGTATCTCAATAGCCTGGTCGGGCTATATTTGTCGAGATTTTCGTTCCCGTAGGTCCTACCGTACCAGATAGGCTGTTTGGAGAGCCGTAATACTAAAATCAGCAAATTCATGGTATGTGACGTCACTAAAGTGTTTCCTTAAGATAACTGGCTTCTGCAGCAACGTAGCCTTCTCATACGGAAAGAGAGGGTTCGGAAAGGTCTACCTTAAAAATGTTACAGTTTACCTCATCCCACAGATTTCCGTCTCCTGCGGTAAGGCCTTAAAAGTATGGAGCTAACTCATCTGAAACTATCTAGTTAGTTGTCTTTTGGGATCTAGGACCACTCTACTAGGCCATTCTTTCTTGCAAACTGTGACGATCATCAATCAAGGTAAGCCAGATGGGATTACCTTCAGTTCTCGAATTCTAGCTCGTATCCCAGTCAGTGCCACAGCTAAAACTGGGCCACCATTTCTAAACATTTCTGGAGCTAATCCATCAGAGCCTACTTCTCTTCTTCACTTTAGGTCACCCATAGCCTCATCAACATCATTAAAATGTGGTCGACTTGCTTCAATTTCCCATCCAAGTTGATTGCGGATAGACAGTAACTGACCGTAGCTGCTACTTTGACGTGGTGGTCGAGCTTGCCTATCGTGATGACCCAACCGAGTTATATTGGCTGGAACATATGTTCCTGTATGTTCTACCATGCCAGGCAGGTCGATTGGAGAACGGTAAGACTAAAAGCAGCAACTCAAGGTCTGTGGGCGAAGTCGTACTGCTGACTGTAGAGGGGTGTGACAGCAGTAAGGTGTTTCCCTCGGACAACCAGGATCTGCAGCGATGCTACCTTCTCACAAGGAGGGGTGGGGTTAGAAAAGGTCGACCCTAAAAATGTCACACCTCACCTTACCTCACGGATTTCCGTCTCCGGCGGTAAGGCCCTTTGAAGAACGGAGCTAACACGTCAAAAACCTTCCACAAAAAGGCCGCGCGCGACCGGCCTCAAGCAGTTGTCCCTTGGGCTCTGCGGTCACGCTCCCAGGTCGTCAAGACCAACACTAATTCAATTTCCTTTTCAGGTTCCTCAAGAAATACCCTTCCCCGGTGTGGGCAGCCGGGAAGTGACATCAGCCCTCATACCCGTAACAGCACAAGAGACCAAGGTGGTCACATTCAAATCTTTCCTACACCTTCTAATACCTCTCTTATCTCCTCGACTAACCCTCCCCACGTCTCTTTATCACCTCGCACCGCTAGGGTAAACGATTCGAGTACATGGAACGCCATTCCTGGTCTCCTGAAACCACGCTCTAAACTACACGTAGGAGCTTTTAACGTACGAACACTTTGCCAAATAGGACAGCAGGCTTCCTTAGCTAAAGCTTTAGAATCTCGCGTCGTCGATATGTGCTGCGTCTCCGAAACGCGCACACAGGATCCAAGTAGCGTCATTCATTTGACCTCACCATGCCAAAATAAAGAACCGACTCGATTTACGCTTCGTGTATCTGGAAGCCCTGATTCTGCTTCCCGTGGCCTCGCCGGCGTAGGTATAGCATTGAGTCCTAGGGCAGAACTAGCTCTCTTAGAGTGGATCACAGTAAACAGTCGTTTGTGCGCTGTCCGACTAAACGGAACAGTAAGGACTTAGGAAGGTAGGGACACTCGTCGTTGCCTCTTCGTTGTCTCTGCCTACTCTCCCACTGACTGCAGCTCAGATGAACCAAAAGATAAGTTTTGTAGAAAGCTTTCTGACCTCCAAAAGGCTAGACGCTCTGATGTAGTAATCATGGCTGGTGACTTTAACGCTCAAGTAGGTAAACTAAGCGACAAGTGAAGACACCTGGGTGGATCTTATGGTGTCGTGGCTCGAAGAATAGATAATGGCGACTGTCTGTTTTTAGCAAATGCTAACTTTAACCATAGGGAAAAACATCTTTAAACATGGCGACCCCCTAATTCGTCCCAACGTTGGACCCAAATAGATCACATCGTTATCAGCCACTGATGGAGGGGCTCGATAGAGACTGTCGCTCGTTCTGGAGCACGTGCTTAGACTCAGATCATGCTCTAGTGCGAGCGCATATTTGTCTGCGTCTTACTGGACGTAGGGAAGACGCTGTAAGGAAACCTCTTAGGGTCCTATTTAATGATAGCCAAGCTAAGAGTATATTTTAGGAACAACTAGAAAAACAGTTAGGTATCCATTTAAGTGATGCTCACCCTAAGGCGGCTTGGAATGATATCCGAAAAGCTGTGGAAACAACAGTGATATCTGTTAGTACGGTAAACCACTAGGCTAGGGAGAAACACTGGATCTCTGCAGTATCTACCGCACTGATAGATGCTCAGAAACTCATTCCATCTGGCTCTGAGCATGACGAAGAGTGGAGTCAGCTTAAGCTCAGGTTGATAAGTCTACTCAGTGATCGCGAACGTTGGTGGGTATCGAAAGCAAGGGAGATGGAAAAGGCAGTGGCAATAGTTAACAGCAGACAACTGTTCAGACTTATCAAGGAAACCGGTATTGGGAATCCAACCGCTTGTCTCGATAGGCAGCGTTTACTGGTGGAAAGGTACGTTAGAAGAAAGCTAAGAGTACCCAATATAAACGTAATATCAGTGTATGAAGCCACTGGCTATTGGTCTGAGTCATGTTGATCAATCCAAACCACCTGGTTGGAGTCCTCGAGATAACTTTCATTAGTGACTGGAGACCATAGGTAACATTGCTCAGAATCTTTCACAATGGCACGGATACAAGGAGGCACCAAATACATATTCGCCACACAAATCTCATTCGATATGTGTGAGGGCTGTGATACTGCCCGGGTGCCCAAACCGAAGCAGGTCGATTTCAAATGGGAATTCATGATTCAGTAGATTGTATAATGAAATGTATGTGAAATTAGGGATTGTTATTTTGCTTATAGCAGTTTGTCTGAACATTTAAAAAGCATCAATTATATATGATTATTACAAATAATACTGAATAACATGACTAACCAGTAGTATTTGAAGAATAAGTACTTGTACTACTACTCTGATTATCACCATCACTATCAGTGTGAAATGTATCCACGTTTCCATCGACTTGAGGTATACAATTACCTGACTTTGAAGTATGGCACGGATACATTCACTCTCTTTATCTTCCTCTTGATATTTAGTCTCAGTATCCCTTCAAATGTACGTTTCCGCTCTGTCTCTTCGATACCTGTTTCTAATGCATGGGTGTTTTGATTATCATTGCTGGTCCGGTGTTCCACTCATTTGAGGTTGGTGAAGCTTCACTCGGTAAAGCCCATGGGCTTATCTGTATCAGGTTCTACCTCCCAAGGCTCGCGAACCTACCTCGTGGGCCCGATTTCGTGTGGAAATCGTCGGAAGCCTCGGTTCTCGGTACCTGGGCGTCGCACCAACGGCAAGTATAGTCTACGCACACACAAATTACACACACATTTCCATGCATCCCATAGGTATATTCACCCACCTGGTAGTGTAGATAATCACCACTCCGTTTAAGCGTATTTGCCACATTGACTATCTCGTATGCATTATATACATACTACTGGTACAAAAACTTCCATGCATTTCATGGCACACACATAAACATAAGCACTCGGGGAGGGTTGATGGTCACCTCCTATTATTGTTTGCTGTCACACTCAAAGTTACATGCACGAATCTGTAGACAATAATAAGTTAGGCGGAATAGGAATATTCGCGGAATAATGTTATGGAACAGATATAAGAACTCTGTTTAATATTTCTTTACTTTATAGATTTGAAATGAATGTCAGTTTGTACAGAAAACAGTTCAACAAAGTTTTC